ACACTCATTGTAACCGACATCCGTTTGAGTGATCCCTCTCCTCAGTCTCTGTTAGAACTCCGAAAGGAGAGGACCGTCTCAGTTTGTACTCCGACAAGAAAGGATCGCAAGTCTCAGCTTGAACTCCGATAGGAGAGGACAGCACGCTCGCGAAATACATAATTCACTTTTCAATAAACTACATTTAATTATAAGTTCTATAATTAATTACCGGCTCAATCCATCCAACCACGCTCCGCTAACTGAAAAATCTTATCAACATTATCTCATCTATTGGATCCCTCATCTCTATCCTAAGACTATCAATTTTATTATTTAATATTTGAGAAGCCCTAGCAAAAAACGTCTTATTATTAACATATTCTTCCTTAATTCTTCATTAGAATGATTAATTCATTTCCCCTTCTTAATCATAGATTTTCTGAAATTCCAATCTAAAACAATATCTTTAATTTAACTTATATTTTTTAATATGGCAGATTAGTGCATTGGACTTAAACCCCAATTATAAAGATTTATTATCTTTTATTAAAAATTAATACTTGATCTATCTCCCTCCAAAATTCAAATTCTTCCACCTATGATATAATAATTTTATTTCATGACTCCACAATAATTATTTTAACTTTCATTACAACGTTAATTTTCTTTATCATAGTTTTTTTATTATAGTTCTATTTCCAATAAATTAATCAACCAATTCTTATTAGAACATCAAACAATCGAAATTATTTGAACTATCTCCTCCAAATTCATTCTTATTTTTATCGCTATTCCATCTATTAAAATTTTATATCTTACTGATGAAATTTTTAATAACAATTTATCAATTAAAGCTATTGGTCATCAATGATATTAAAGTTATGAATATTCAGATTTTACAAATACATATAAACTTTGATTCATTCATAATTCCATCTAACCAACTTCTGCCAAACGAATTCCGCCTTCTCGATGTATTTTACCATTTAATTACCCTACCCGAATTTTAATCACCTCTATAGATGTTATTCATGCTTGAACTATTCCTTCTCTAGGTATTGAAATAGATTCAATTCCAGATCTATTAAACCAAACTTTACTTTTAATTAATCGACCTGGAATTTTCTTTGGCCAATGCTCTGAAATCTGCGATACAAACTACAGATTTATACCTATCGTAATTGAATCTACAAACATAATTAACTTTAAAAATTGACTTAATCAATCTCACTCTTAATTTTACTTTTTCAAATCTCATACAAACTTTTAAAAAGTCCTATCATTACATTACATTATTTCTTTTCCTTTAATACCACCCCTCTATTTAAATGACTGATGATCTCATTAAATGACTGATTAAAGTATTAATCTTTTAAATTAAATCATAATAGTATATACCCTATTTTTAATGAAAGAATTAGTTTTAAATAAAAACATCAAATTGTCACTTTAAAAAGATTATATAAAACAAATATAATATTCTTTTATTCCTCAAATAATACCATTATTATGAATCATAATATTAATTTTTTAAATAATTTTAATATTATTACTTACTTCTTTCTTATATTTTTTTTACTTCCCCTTCTTTTCCCCAAATTACATTCTTAATCATACCTCTTATTTAAACAAAAAAATTTATTGAAATTGAATATGATAATAAACTTATTCACAATCTTTGATCCATCAACATCTCCCTCCATTTCATTAAATTGATTAAGAATATTATTTTGTTTATTTTTCCTTCCATTCTAGTTCTGATTTTTACCCTCCCGCTTTACCCTATTATGAAATATAATTATCAATCACATATTTAATAAATTTAAAATTTTAATCAATTTTTTTCCTTCCAATATTATTACATTTCTAAGACTAATTATATTGATTTTTTTCAATAATTTTCTCGATCTCTTTCCTTATATGTTTACAGTCTCAAGCCACATAAGATTTTGCTTTTCCCTATCCCTAAGACTTTGACTTAGAATTATATTATTTAGATTATTTAATTATTTAAATAATGTGCTAACTCATCTAACCCCATCAGGAACTCCCTTTATTCTAATATCCTTTATAGTTATTATTGAATCAATTAGATTATTTATTCGACCATTTACCCTGGCTATTCGTCTCACAGCCAATATAATCGCTGGACACTTACTTCTAACACTTTTAGGATCTTCAGGAATTAATATACATTCCTCTATTATTTTTATTTTAATACTAACACAAATCTTACTTTCTACACTCGAAATTTCTGTCTCTATAATTCAAGCCTATGTATTTTCTATCTTATCCACATTATACAGAAGAGAAACTTAATTAATTAATCCCTATGATAAATCAAAATCACCCATTCTACCTAGTTACTCCAAGCCCATGACCTATCATTATTTCCCTCTTTTTAACAATTTAATTTATATTGTTAGATGATTTCATAATATATTATAAATCGCACGCTTCCCCTTTGCCTCTC